GACAGGGGGGGGCGCCGAAGGAACGCGCCCCCCCAGCCACAGGCCTGTCCCAGCCCTGGGGGCAGGCCCCATGCTGCTACCAGAGATGGGTCCCTGGTCACACTGGGGTTCACCCCAGCTCTGCGAAGGGCTGTGACAGCAGCTCAGCTCCCCGGGAGCAGCACGTCTGCCTCCCTCAGTCCCCAGCAGAGGACAGGCCCCCCAGACGGCCCAGGGAGAATAGCCCTGGGCAGGCCCAAGGCACCGGCCTCAGCGCAGAGCCCGCCAGGCAGGCCAAGGGAAGCAGGTAAGGCACAGGGATGTGGGCATCCAGCTCCATTTATTACACACAGGAATGAAAATTTCCATTAAAAAAAAAAAATCCGTTTGGGAATACTGATGCTGGGTTTACAGGATGGGCCTCATGGTGACAAAGGGGAAGTTGTAGGACTCGGGCAGGCCCTGGTGCCGCGTGTGGTTGAAGCGGCGCCAGCTGAAGACGGGGAGCCCGCCCTGCACGGGGGGGCCGTTGATGGCAGCGGCTGTGAAGGCTGAGGCCAGGCGAAAATCCGACACCTGCAACAGAGGGCAGAAGGGTTACGTGGTGCTGTCCCACACCCACCCGTCCCACAGAGCAGGGGGAGCGGGCAAGGGGACACGCAGGCTCATCAGCCCTCCCCTTGGAGTCGCCTCCAGCCACAGAACAGCCAGCACAAAGCGCAGGCCCACGCTGCCCTCCTGCTGCCCAGGTGAGGTGACACATCCGCCCCCAGGACAGCCCTCCCTTGTCTGCACATCTCCCAGGGAGCTGGACCTGCAGCAGGCAGCTTAGAGGGCTCTGCCCTGCGCTCGGGCTGGCCACAGGGACACGTCAGGGTAGTTCAGCCAAGGACAAAGTCAGCACAGAGCAAATAATGGAGGAACAGGGCAGAGTCTGGGCAGCATTATTTCCCAAGAGGGCCCCAGCCTGCTCCATCTTCCTGAACTCTAAAACTGCCTTCGGCGTTTATGACTGCCAGGTTTTGCCTCTGCTCTAGGCTATTTCTGTCCATGTTCCTCTTAGGCCCCTTGTCCTCCCCTAGCCCAGCCCATTCCCTTTGCCCAACCACGCACTGATCTCCTCCCTTACCAGCCACCTCTATACAGCAATTTTCTGCATTCATCTCCTAATAATCAGCTCTGGGTGCTTCTACTGGCCATGACAACAGGCAGCTGGCTGGGGATTGTGCAAGCTGACTGGACACAGCACCAGCAATGCCAAAACAGCCTCCACAGGGCCCATGCTGGCAACCAAACTCTCATCCCACAGGATAAAACACTGTACAACTTCCCAGCACACTAGGTCTGGGCAGCTGCTCGCTCAGGTATTGCTGCTCACAGGGAAAAACACAATAAAAGCTGCCTAGAAAAACTGCTGCTTTCTCCAGGAGAGTGGGTCAAAGGATCTTCCCACATCTCCCAGAAAGCAAAGTGATCTTTACCAAACTTTGCTCAAAGCAGTTTCACAGGGAGGTGGAGCCCTGGAGCAGGGTGACTCACTGGAGAGCCAAGCTTTTCAAAAGTAAAGCTGAAGTGAGTTCCTGTGAGCTCTGGGGAGGCACCCACAGTCCCCATGAACAGGAAGCTGGGGCTGTGCAACAGTTGCCTTCCTCAATTATATGAAAACTCATTTCAGCCTTCTACTTAAGCTCCTCTTGCTGCAAGGCTTTGGGATTTAACCCCTAAACACCCCAAGTTCCCACGGATGTAATTAATCCGTACACCTTCCCCTGTATCCTCCACCCTCTGCCACATGCCAGGTCTGGTGTCAAGGACAGGAGACAGGGCTCTGCATGGAGCTGCCATCTCAGGATCTGCCCAGGTGCTGAGACAGCATGAAAAAGGGAACAGACAGGCTGGGTCACACCTGCCCTGGTGGAGGGAACTGTGCCACAGGTCTGCTAGAAGCACAAACAGGCTGAAAACGTTCAGCAGATACTGAAATTGAGGTGATCTACCTTGGAGTCATAGCAGCCTGCAGGCACTGGAAAAGAAGGATTCAGGTCTTCCCGGCAGCAAATGGTGTTGCAAGGATTGCGTTCAGCATAAGGATCATGCTGGTAATCTGGGAAGAAATGTGGGAGGGAGGGGGGGAGGAAGGAAAGAACACAAGTCAGTCTCCTCACAAAGAGCTGATGTGAAGTGCCCGAGCCACTAAAGCTGGGTACTGCACTGGCAGGAACACTGGCCTGTCACACTGCTCTCCTGCCTGCCCCAGGCTACAAGCCAGCACTTGGGACAGGACGTAGACAAGCTCCCCATGGAATCCCATACAGCCACTTCTGCATCCCACTGCCAACCTCAACCACAAACATCTGCAGCTCCTCATGATGAAAGCTTGCAGGAGCTTTGTCAGGAGAGCAAAGTGGAAGAGGAAGGACAGCAGGGAGAAGGGAAGGGGAAGGTGCAGCAGCCAGAGCCTTGGTTTTCCTGTTCTGGACTGAGTGGCAAGACCGCTGAACAGCCACTGCAGCAGCTGCAAGCTCGGGGTGGAAGGTGGACAAGACTCAACTTCTAGAAGCACGCTACTACCTGCAGCCTGAACAGTAGCAATACCCCACCCTGGGAGAGGCTTCCCAACCCCCAAACCCAGTAATCAGCAAGCTCCCTATAATTGAGAATAAAAACATAGCATCTAAAGCTATCTGTACTTAGAGAGGGGCTTAGCCAGAGTTAATTAAGCTCAATTTAATCCAGTTAAGGAGAACCCTGTCAGGGAAAAGCAGAGCAGAGCATTACCTACCAGAAATCATTTGCCTGAACAGGGGAAAAAAAAACAACTGAAGTTTTACACCAAATTCCCTGGTCAGATCTGACCTAACTGTTGCCTAGGACTTAAAGCTGTCAAGATTGACAGAATGTAGATATATCAGGTCACAGCACTCCACAGAGGCTCTTGGAGTGTCAGCAGCTCTCTGGAAAGGTCAAACAGCAAGCCCGAGGGTCCTTGCTCTAGCTCAATCTTGTTTCTGTTAGAGTAATTTCAGCCTGGTTTCCTACCCTCACAGTAAGCTGCTGTTATCTTTTTGCTCTGTGTGTACTCTGCACCTAGGGTAATATAACTGAGGCTGCAGCTTCCCACTATAATCCAGGAAATGGAAATAAATACAGCTTTATTAAGGTCAGCTTCACAGTGCATTAGCCCATGTCTTACTGTTGTATCTCATGATGTACTTCATGCTCTCCAAGCTGGTCACCTTGCCTTGGTCTCGGCGGAAGATTTTTGCCCTTGGAGCAAGCTCATAGGAGAAGTCCATGCCATACTTCTGAACATATGCTGAGTACCCACTGAGGTTGTAGATCTTCTCATGGAAAGGGATGTTGTATGAAGGCCAGTAACCTGCCAGGGACAAAACCCACCCTGTTAACCACTTAGAAAAGCTGAAAGCTGCTTGCTTATATCAAAAAAGAAAAATACACTGTTTTCCATGCTGCATTGCCTTCACAGCACGACAAAGACTAACACATCCAACTGGTTTGAGAGTCATGGGCATGCCCAGGGCTGACTCCCAGTGTAACACCACTGGAGTACCCAGGCAACCCGCCCCCAGACCTCCACCCTGAGGACTCGCCCTGCAAAACGGCTGAGATCAGACCTGCAGGAGTGTGAGGCTCACGCAGAGCAGCCACAGCCCTCCTGCCCAGCCTCCCCTGCTCAGCCTCACAGGAGTCTAAGGCCATTCACCTTCAAACTTGGCCCCTCCTTCCCACCTCACCAAGGCAGAGCAACACCCCGTGCTAAGACACACGGACAGAGGCAGGGCAGCAAGAACACACACAGCTGCAGTGGTGTTTGGAAAGCTGGGGCTGCACAGTGCTCAGGAGAGATGGGGCGATGGCTGCACTTGTGTCAGTATCTGCATTTGAGGCTTAAGAAACGTTTGATCATCAGAGCAGAACCCTGCCCTAACTTTTCCAAGGGCATCCACAAATCCTGCAGTTCTGTTAACTCTAAAGAACAGGGTTACCAGCCAGAACTCAAGACAGTTTTAGGCAGGTGACATACAACTGCCTGAAACAAGACTAGTCTAGAACACAGAGAAGCTCATAAAGAGCCAGATCATCCCAGTCAGGATCTGGGGACAAGTCCTGGAATTAATAAAAATACATACCTATACCTTAATATTTTCTTTTTTTTTTGGCAAGGCAGGCGCCAAGGAGTATTTAAGCAGAGAACATAACATGAGGTAGTCCCAGGAGCAGCACCCTTTCAGGTTCTTTCTAAAGCAGTAGTGCTCCTGTCAGTGGAGGCCACTTTCTCAAACCACACACACACCAGGATCTGGCTTAGAGATTCTCTCTGGACACTGGTAAATGCAGCACTCCCTGCATCACGTGAGCAGTCTGGCTGCAAGATGCTCAAGAAAATCAACTGGGACTTACTGGAAATGATGCAAAGCAAACATCCTGAAGGACAGACAGCACAGGCACTGGAACGTTGCCCGAGCAGAGGCCTCGCCAGCCTGGCTCCTGCCTGGCATGCAGAGGGAAGGGGCTGTGTGTGTGCCGCGGTGCAACAGGCGTCCTCCAGAAGAAGCACACTTGCCAGAGGATATGACATCAGCTTCCAAACCAGGAGGGTTTAGCTGTGATGCAAAAAGGTGCTGGTGTCTCACAGGAACGCAGGACATACAGACAACCCCTTCCTCCCACCTGGGAAAACTGGGAATTGCCAAAACAGAGGAAGCTATTGATGTTCTCCTCCAGCAAGAGCTCTCCTGTGCCTAAGACTTGATCACCCTGCACATCCCATGCAGAGAGTGCACACCCAGCCTGAGGCAGGCTTCCCCCCCGGCTGCCATGAGCCAGTGAAACCTGCCCCTGGGCCTGGCAGGTGAACAGGGACAAAAACAAGTCAGAGGTGGCAGAAGGTTGAAAGGGGGGCGAGGAGAACAACATGAAGGCAGCAAAAATTCTCTGAAACAAAGTGCTCTCCTCCTCTACCCTCCAGAGCAAGAGATCTCAGCCACCTCAGAGAGCACACTAGGATTAAGTGTATGGCATAATGGACTGGGATCCTAGGTTCTGATCTGATGTGGTTCTCAGAACTCACCTGCACTGGCCTATGAAACAAGCTGCTGACAGAAACCAGGAAAAAAATCTTTCCATTTTCAAATACATGTAAGAAAATGCTCCCTTTTGAGACAGGTATAGGGCTTACTCTACCAGTGCCTGCCTCTGTTCACCTGAGAACTCAATTCTTATTCTCCGTTGCTTCTAGATTTATACTTGAAAGAGATCTACAAAGCCAGTGCTGGTGTAAACTCACCCTGACCAAACCAGAGCATCTCAAGTGCCCTGTTTGGATTCCAGCTACAAGGCAGCTGGAGTGTGCCAGGGTCAGCTGCTCCACAAACACTGTCAGCCAGCACTGCTCTTGGGAAAGACAAACTTCCCCTACCTGGGCTGCTCCCAGCACCAGGGACCAGGGCAGGGGCCTCAACAGGACGTGCCTGGTGTCCTGCACAGCATGGGGTCATCTGGATCTTCTGCTTACAGGAGCAGGGTTGGCTTCCAGCAGCTGGGGTGTCCAAGGGAGTATTTCGGGGTGTGCTGAGGGCCCTTCTAATGTTTAAGCTCCCAGAGACTGACTGATGCATTATCCAAGACACAAGGTACATTTAGATACTTGGGAAAAGCCATACTGAAAATAGAAGATAACACAAAACTTTTCATACATGCTGCCACCTTCCAGAGCTGAGCAGCCAGATCTCCTAGGAAGGAATAAGTGGAGGCTGTCCAAGCCCAGGGTTGTGCTCAATCCCACAGGGAATCCCACACAGCAGGTCTCTCCAGTCCCTGCTGGAAAGGAACTCGGGGAGCCCTCTCAGCCTGGCCTCTCAGCAGGGGTGTAGTGCTGAGCATGGCTGCATTGCTTCACACACCAGAGCTAGAGAGGTCTCCACTAGTTGTTTTTTTTGTCTGCATCACAATCCACAACAGAGCAGAAGGCTCTTTCAGCATACACACAAACACTGGAAGACAGTGTAACAGACTAGTTTTGTATCTTCAACGGGCAAAGGAGACAGAAGCATAAAGGGAGAGATGTGGGATTTTTCAAAACTATCAATAAGAAACAACTCAAAGCCACGCTGACGTTATGGCAATGCCCAAAATAGGCAAGAACTTTCCAAGAAGCCAGATACAAGGAAAAATTTAAAGGGAAACAACTTAAATACATTTCTAGTAATTTTGATGATGACAAGCAATTAGTTAATTCAGCCCCTGAGCATGGGGTTGGAGGAGGGAGCACAAAGCACCAGACACACTCAGATCTGTGCAATGAGCTCAGGCTTCGGTATGCTGACAGTATCTAAAGAACACCTGGGAGTGAAGCCTGACAGTGGGTGTTTTGGGAGTGAAGCCTGACAGTGGGTGCTTTGCTTCACCTACACTTTGTTTTCCACCAACTTGTTGCTAGTCTTACTGGAGGATTAAGGAATCTTTGAAACAGCAAATTTGTAATCAGAAAAGTTCAGCTCCTGAACTTAACAGAGAACTCTTGTATTTAAAGAGCTCATCTCCTTGTAAGGTGACCCATTCACCAAACACTTCAAGTAGCCCACAGCATCACAGTTATTTAGTACTGCTTCAGATTGACCTCACCTTTTTCCTCATGGGTCTGTAAGACAAGGCAAAATACTAGAGAAAAAAAAAAAAAGGAATGAAAAGAAGAAAAGAAAAGAAGGTAAAGTCTACTTTTCCCTTCCCTACTTCTAACAAACACAGATGCTCACCACATTTCTGCCAGAGCATGCAGGAGAAATGAAAATAACGTTACAGACCTGGCAACAGAGCAACACTCACACAAAGCTTCCTAACTTGGGACTCAGCACTGGCACTCAGCAAACCCCACAATTCTCCACCACCTGGCACAAAGAGGTGGCTTTCCTGAGCCAGTACTACAGGAACCGTTACCTTTCCGGAGAATATTTGTCTGATCAGAATACTCCACAAGGGTTGGAATCTGCTCCACTATGTACAGCGCACCATCATCAAGGCTCTTCTGCAGCCTGACCTTCTTCAGGTCCAGCACCATGTACTGGTTGTTGTAGGTCCCTAGGCATGAAAGCAAAGAGCTGAACGTCCTGCCTGGAGAAGGAGAAGGGTACAAGGGGGAAGAGGGAACACATCCTTTCCTAAGACCCAGATGAAAGCATACTTACCCGAGTTGCACTTGGAGAAGGTTTCTGCCCAGGCTTTGCCCCCATCTGCCATCATGTTGGCAATGCGGACCCTCTGCCAAGCCAGCAGGGATTCCGGCACGATCTGCTTAATGAGGGCTTGGTTGAACACACTGTTGGTGGTCTGCAACATTACTAAGCCACTGCCTAGTATGTAAAAGTCATCCAGGGAGACCAAAAACCCTTGAACAGCAACAATACAAAATCAGTTATCTGTGTGAGCTTCTGATATAGAGCAAAACAGAGACAAGCCAGGAGGATGCGAATGAATCAACACATGTGTTTGAAATCAAGCTGCACAAATAGTACAGATGGGGTGGGAACTCCTGCATGCACTTTAAGCTCACCTATCAACACAGTTTCTCATCTGTCATGTTTTCAACACACAACCTAATCCTTTCTCTAGAGCATTTGCTTCACATTTGCATCCCATGCTTGGAATTTTCTCCTTTGCATCTGAAGCTATGTCTTATTCTTATGCTGAGGATCACACACTAATGCCTAGTGAGCGTTTGTCTCTAACAAAGAAATTCCTTTTAAAACATAAAACAAAAAACAGAAGTACAAACAGACCCCAGGCCAGGAGGTGGCAGACAGAGCTGCAGAGGTTGGCTACAACACCATGGATAGCTCAGTGACTACTTACAAAGCAGGAATAACTTGACTTTGAGATTTCTCCAGTGGATACAGGGCTGGCAGACTGGGGAAGAAAGGTTGTTAACTTAGCTCCTAGTGGGGAAGTCATCCAGAACCTAGTCTCTTGCTAATGAGTTTAATTGTATTGCTCTTTACAGACTACAAAATGCTAATATGCTCTGCAACAACCTAACAGTTGATTTCCACAATTAAAACTTCCCCAGCAAGCATTATTAAAGCACTCTGAAAACAAACTTAAGGTCAGCAACCTATGAGAGACAGAAAAGACAGCTCTGCCTCCTGCTCCTGGGCTTTCATCAAAAGGCAGACCCCCAAGCAGAGGTAATGCTGAAAGGCTCAATTTCAGCAAGTTTTCTTTTAAGTGTCAAGCTCTCAAATCAGAACAGATCCAGGAAAATACACTTGGTTGTCCCTTGTTTTCTAAAAATACATCGAACAGGTAGAGCACTCTGACAGCTTGTGGTTTTGAGCATTTTATTTCTGGAGACAGAAAAAGAGTGTCAATACCTTACATACATCAACAGCAGAGTTCTCTCTCAAGTAAGGAAGGACAAGAAGCAAAATACTCAAAAACTGGCTCTGCCAGTCCATTCCATACAAAGACATGGGATACTCCAGCAATAAACCCTTGTGCAACAAGTCAAGTGCTTGCCCAAACAGAGACAAGAAAAGAAATTATTAAAGAAAAAAAATTGTGATTTGAATTGAACACCAGTTCCCATGGCAGTGCCCATGCCAAATGCCCTACTTCAAAATAAACCAAATATTTTTCTTCTTTTTCAATCAACAGCAGATGGAAACTAGAAAAACTCAACTCAAAGCAAGTGCCAATACAAGGAATGATGCCGAATTAACTGAAGTTTGAACTCTGTAATTCAAGTAAAGCTGCAAAACCCAGCTAAGCTGAAAACAAGGGGATTTCCTGCTGGGCTACCCCAATTATTCCAGGACAACTTGCAGCATTTTAACAAGGCATAAGCACCCCCAAAACAAAGGGAAGTTCAAACACACACAATGGGTTTACCCAGGGCAAAGACATCCACAAAAATAAAACCTGGGTACAGCCTAGAGGTATCAGCAGATATTTGGGGTCCTCTTGGATCATTTTTGTCTTTTTAATGCATGAGAATCTGTTGTAATTGAAAGTGCCTTTATGTCAGCCATTATCTCACTGTGTGGTTCAGGTGGTTTTTTGCTGTGAACCCATCCCACACCCATCAGCAACTCTCAATCTTCCCCCACACTCCCCCTTCAACGATCCTGACTCTTCCTACACAGAAACAAGCAGAAGCAATTCTGATTGCACCTTCTGGGTTTGTGCCATTCAGATGCAGCTTCCAACCACCACTGCAAAAATGGAAGTTTCCAGAGTCTGGAGTTTCATTCATCATGACAATATTACTCAGCCAAGCAAAATATTTTTTAAAAATCTTAGCCACAGTATCCTCCAGAGTCAGCACACCAAAGAGTGTGTGGGAGTTAACACGTTCCTGGCAGCTATTGTTCCTGAGGAGGCAGGCTGCTGCTTTCTGAACCAGATGGCACGAGCTCTTCTGATGTTTTAAAAGGTCGTTGTGCTCAGTCAAGTACAGAAAGGTTCAAAATTGCAGGCTGGAAATCAGAGACATGAGATCTAGACATCACCTCACAGGGTGGAAAGTAGCTCCCAGCTGAGATGCTCAGTTCTCTGGGCTATGAGCACACTTGGCAGTGGGAGAGGAGATGTTTTCTCTGGGTTATTTTTCATAATCCCATCAGCAGCTGCTTCTCATGCCAAGACTGAACTCTCACCAGCTACCTCCCTTCCACTTGCAGTCCTTTCCTAGGCAGCATCTCCCACAACATAGCTCTGGCCTTTCATCTCCAAAGCACATCAGACACCTTCTGCTTCCCTCCAGGTTTTAGACAAATGTTGGAAAGAGGAGTGAAGCAAAAAAATGGTCTGGCAATACCCCATGAGCAAACTGGTCCCATGAATACGAGGGCTACCACCCTTTGCATGTTTTGGTGCTCCTAGCTCTTGCTCAGGCTGTGGGGAAGGATAACACTACTGCATGCACTCTCTAGGCCTGCACTAAGATTACTTCTCCAGATTACTTCAAAGCAAGGGACATGTGACTTCTCTCTCCTGCCTCAGAAGAGCATGGATAGCCATCCACCAAGACAACTGGTGTCAACTTGTTCCCATGTCATAGCCTGTCTCAACCAAGCAAGACCCCAGGAGCAGACCAGAGGAGCAAAGGTGGCAGGGAGGTTCTTGCCTGCTTTGCTTACACAGCTAAAATCCAAATAACAAACTTCACAGGACTATGGCTCAGCCCAGAGAAAGTAGGTCACTACCAAAGCAGAATTATTTAGTCCAAATGGTAAACTCCTTTCTTAGATGGGGTTCAAAACTAACTGTTCAAGGAGAAATGGATGGACATCTTGGGAGCTGCTGTCCAAGGAAAACTGCAAATTTCATCAGGTAATTTCACTCATTTCTTCAAATGCCTCAATGGGGCAGTGAAGAGCAGCAAGTGCCTGGCAGGGGCAGGCTGGGAAGGGCTTGCTTTCTCCCTGATCCTTTACTAGATATCTCCAGCAAAACACAGCAGGTACCTCATCTCTGCCACCATGTTTCCTACCCCACATACAGCTTCACTCAGCATCTCTGAGCAACCATAACACGTCCATACAAATTAACTTCTCTGCTGTGCACGGATTCTCCAGCCACATAAAGCACCTATGTCCAGAGCTTCAACAAGGCACTTCAGCCAGGGGTGCCCAAGTACTCAGCTCAGAGATTCCTGCCTTCCAGAGGTTCCTTTCCATGTTCCACAGGCAGCTCTGCCCAGATGCTTTCAACAGAAGACAAAGTGAAGACTATGAGCAGCGCTCAAGGAAGGATTAAGGACGAGTGTGGAAGCAGGCAGCAAGTGGCTCAATCATTTTGCCAAACCCGAGACTACTGCTCCTGCTCACCTCCTCTTGACTGTGCCTCTGCAACACTGCTGCTCTGAAAGGGACAAGGCAGCCAAGGGAGGACGTGCTCCAACAGTGGACATCCCACCGTGCTGGCAGGAGCATGGGGAGCGGCAGGGAGCGCTGGGATGGACTCTGCAGCTCCTGCCCATCTCCCTGCCCGCCCAGTCACAGCAGAATTCTGCCAGGGAGCTGGTGGCCCTCCTGCTGCATCACCACGCACACGCCAACACGCACCACGGGCAGTGAAGAGTCTTGGATCCTTTGAGTCACAGCAAACAGTCATTTCTGCAGTGCTGTAGCCTGTCTTTTGAAATTCAGTGAATAAACAATCTGGACAATTCTACTCTGTGACCCCAGGAGAAACCTGGGAGTTGGCACATTCCTCCTGAGAAGTCAAACTACTCCTTGACACTTTTCTGACACAGCCTTTGGGCAGCCAAGAGTTTTACTTCATATTCTGTCTGCTGGGTGACAGAAATCTTTTCATTACTCAGGTGTCTCTGAAGGTCTGGAAGGACACGTGTTTTAGTGCTCTTTGATACCTCCAAAAGTCAATACTTCTGTGTACATTAGAACCATGCCACTATTCAGGAGAGCTTAGCAGGCTGGCCTTTTTCACTGGTTGTTGCTGTCTATCAGGATGGAGGATAAGAGTGCAGACTTGCAGGCAGGGAGAAATTGCAGTCAAAGTTGAACTGTGGCCAAGACCTGCAGATTCCTTGGTCAGATGCCCTGAAAATATAAGGCTTCATCTCATCACAACACGGAGCAGAGGAATTTGGCAGTTCTGATGTCCCCAGTTCATTACTAGGCCAGTACTTCAGAGCTTACTCATCCCCTGGAAAACTGCAAGTTTGTGAACTACACCCACAGCTAATGCAATGTGCTGTAGTCAATGGATCACGCTTGTCTAGTGCCTGTGATAGCATCCTGTAATTAAACAGCCAGTGAGTACACTCTGCATTCCACTGGTCTCTCAAACTTCACTGCAGCCACAGGAACTACGTTTTGCAACAGTTCTCACTCAGTTCTGTTGGTAGGAGCACAGCTTACCACACATCACTGCATCAGAACCTGCCCAGCACAAGCAAGCTTTGAAACAAGCCACCTCTGCAGAGCTCAGCAGCCTCAGGGGAGCACACTGGGATTCTGCACACGACTGAACAGACCCCAACCATGTCAGCACAGCAGTACCTGACCTTCAGGTACCCTCCCCCATACAATGTGCTTTATCAGGCTCATCAAAACAGAGCACTTGTATTTCACACCATACAAAGAACCCACAAAACAACCCAGAGACATCCCCATAGACACACATTAAAAATAAAATAGTAAATGCTCTGCATGGCTGATCCTGATCCCCTGTTTTGAATCTGCAGCACAACGTAGCACCCAACAGTTGCAAAACAGAGCCATCTTCTCCTGGAGGATAGTATTCTTCTCAGCAAGTATTTCTGCTGAGGGTTATGAGATCCAGAATATTCTGTGCATTCAGGTGATGAACAAAGCTCAGACAGAAACCTTGGCTTTCTACCAGGTTACACAGGCTTGCCAAAATTCTGTGCAACAAGTGAGTGAAATTTCTCCAGAATCTGAGATAACCCAAGCTCTTGAAAGGCTGCACACTTAACAAGCATTCACCAGAACACCACTTCTTCCCCAAAGCAGAACTCTGGTCAGAAAATGTTACATTCCTGAGGGTCACTGAGGAGGGTCAGAACCCCACAAAAAGACTTGCTTTCAATGTGAAACAAGTGCTTTTCAACACAGTCTTCCAGTCACAGTCTTAGGACTCCCTACCATGAAGGACCCTTGCCTTTGTAGTAAGGCAAACACAGTAACTGAGCAAAGCACATTTTGAAATCCTCAGCTAGCAGTATTTCAGCAGAATGAGACAGTCTCCTATGGCCCATACTTCCCTTTAAAAAAAGTTCATGAAGATTCTTGAGCATCTGGGTATTTTTGAATTTGATATTCCACTTTTAAAAGCTCAGGGAATGTTAACTTGCTTTAGAATCTTAGATTTGCTTTGGTTTTTCATGTTGACATTTCTTGGTGCTGCTCAAATAAGAGCACATATTTTACCACTAAAACATCAACTGCTGGCAATTTCTAATGTTCTTCCAGGAAACTGGAGAACATTATATGCTCCCTAATCTTCCCAAGGGAGACAGTAATGTATCCAGCCAGAATATTAAATATATGAAATAAGCATAAAAAAAATACTCCCCTCTGCAACAGCTTATAGAGAAGATGGAGGAGGGAGATGTGGGGAAAAAAAAGAAAAAAACAAAGAAGTGAAGTTTGCTAACCCAACACCAAAGGTGATACAATTCCAGATGGCTGGTGCCTGATGCTCTCTAATAATCCCACTGCAGCACAAGGCACGCCACAGTGGTAAACAGAGGTGCTCAGAACTGTGATTACCAAACACACCAATGCTATAGGCAAGGTGAGGAGTTCAGCACTTGAGATGACTGCAGACTACATAAGCAGAATTCAAAGGAGCATGTTTGTGCCAGAGGTAGAATATTTAACTAGTACTATTCAGAGTGCTGAAGGTGATTAATCAGCAGCAGAAGACAATGACAACAATGCCATGTTCAAGCTAGAAAATTGAAGACAACATTTTGTCCTCTCGGTGGCTAAAAGTTTTAAGGCAGAGTGCAACCAGTGCTTGTTGAGGTGTCACCTTTTTAGAGGTGTCTGCAAGACAGTAAGATGGTCCGTGCCATCGTGGCTACCTACACTGTTTTGGTCTTCTTGACTTTACCTGGGTAACTGCTGAATGAGACACGGCTGGTGCTAGTGTATGGATCAACTATATTGAAGTTCCAGTGCTTATATATTCTCAGTGTGGCAGCATATGTAAACCAGCTGGAATGGGCAAAATAGATATTTTCATATCCAGGTAGAACCTGGAAAATAGAAGCAGAAAGATTAATCATTTCAGACCCTGCTATGCTCTGCATGTTTTGTACTCAACAGAAACGAGGAGAACAAGTTGTTTTAAGTAGCTTGATTAATTGCATTGTTCAGGCAGGAGCAGATTCTTGTGCTTTTAACTGGGTACTTAATGAATTTCTGAAACCTCTGGAAATAATTCTTGCCCACCTTTTTTTCAAATAATTAGTTGTTATTTTTCAAAATTAAGCAGCTTAGAGTTTTTTGGGACACCTACATTACTTATCACATTTTGTTTTCCCTGTTTCCTCTTGAATACTTTTATTTACACATTTAGATCAACACTTTGCAAACATTATCCAACATTAACTTAGAATTTGTTGTTTCTGTGAAAATGCCTCTGGGCAACTGTAGAGTACAGAAGCAAATGCAAGTAAATTCAGTTTGGAAAGGTAGGTAGGAAGATGCATGATAGATAGATTGATCATCTTTTCAAAGTATTTCCCTGCTTCTAAGACTTGTTAGCTCAGAAACCTCTTGCTGTAGGCAAATGCTAGAATGAATGCTGCTTGATTCAAGGTGAATATTGTTGCTCTGGGATACACAAGAATCTCCATATGCTGACCAGATCCTTGATAATTTTAACTGAAAAAAATTAATTACCACCATGATGTATCAGACCCTTATCTTAGAAGTCTTTTCTGTCATTACTCACATTGGAAAGCCATCCCAGAGTACTACTGCTAGCACTCCAAAACCATCAGCCACCTGCACCCGTTTGTTCTTGTGCTAGCACTGCCCTTCAGCTTCAGTAACCCCCTTCCCTTCCTCCACGCTCATTTCCCCAGTGTACTGGCAGACATTCACAGCAGCCCCTTCCAGACTCCACTTGGCTAGCTCAGACAAGTTCCTCTCCTCCAGTCTCCTCTCCATAGTAGCTCCCCATCCCCTAGCAATTCCAGTAGCTTTCTGTTGTCAGTCTCTGTAGTTTCTGGTTTGTGTTTTTCCTTGCCCTTGAAGGCAAGTGAGCAAAGCTGGACAAAAAAATCCTGTGGAGGCAAATAACTGCATGAAAGCACCCTGATTGACACAGGTCTCTTCAGACACACTCAACAAACAGTGAAGACTCCAGAAACAGACTCCTGACACTGCAGATCAACACATTGCTGGGGGTTTAGTTCTTGGTGTTTACCTTAATGAGAGCAGAGCAGTGACCCATGTCCCACTGGTACTTCCCATGGCCTCCTGGCTCCACATTGCACTGTCCACTCCGTGAAGAATACTCAAATAATGCAGGAATGAGGTCCAACAGGTCTCCAACTGCATTCAGAAACTGGACATCAAACATGCTCAGTGGCTGAGGAAAGAAGAGAGACCACAAAAAGCACTTTCAGACAGGAGCATCAGGACAGTCTTAGCTGTTGGACTTTTGTTCTCAAAGGAAGCTCTCTATCACCTACAAAATATCTGCTCACAAGGCCCAGATGCTCAAACTCAGCATGGCATCTAGGTATCTCTTAAGGATCTGGCCTTTATAATGGCATTATCAGGGCTAGCATTTGAGGGGGAAAAAAAGGAGATGCAAAAGTTTCCCAAGTTACTGCTAGCATCTCTTTGCCTGTGACATACCAATGAGTCTGCTGTTGCTGGCACACTTGGGTAATAGTAAGAGTTAGGGTTGTTGGTTTTTTACCTAGATGCCTTTGAAGACCCTTACATTAACACTCAGGAAATTTCAGATTTTTATAAAGACTGCAATTTAAGACATCCTTAGGACTGAGGAGGAGGAAGCAACTGAGGAAAACAAGCTATGGTACAATACTAATCAAGTACAGAAGTAGCTGAAGAAAGGACGTCAGTCAAAGGACACTTCACTGTGTGCTTCTGAAAGCCCCTTATGGCTGGAGCTAGCCAGGGTTAATTACACAGCTCATTGTGCAACAAGCTCTTCAGAACCTTAACTTGCATCTTCCAAAGCAGGAACTTAACAGTGGTCTAACCCCAGCCTTCAAATACCATTTGCCAAATCTCTCCTGTTCTTGCTCACACCATGCCTTGCATTAAGGAAGGGTTCAAGGAAAAGTTGTCAGAACACACATCACTGTAGGGCTTTGAGCAGTCATTTCTGAATGGGACATTATCACAGAGCAAATAAAAGACTGCTTGCCATATAAATCACTGTTATTAAAGCACACAGCTGACCTCTCTACAAATCCCAGTAAAGGGAAGACAAGGACATGGAAAAAAGGTGCCAAAACCATTTACTTTTCATTCAGAAAGCTGAATTCTGTGTTACCCATCTGCTGTTTTGGCACAGAATAAGCAAGAGGAAAACCAAAAATAATGTAAACTCTAGTCCATATATCTCAGGGGAAGTAATTAAACCTTCCCACAATGCTTACCAAGAGAAGTGAGAGAAGTAAGCCACTCTCCCAACTAAAATCATGCACTGCAGGTGGCCCTACCAGCAGGTAGAGTTTGAAAAAGAAATCCAAAGAACATTTTCATAAATATTTTATTGCTTTAACTTAACGTGGGTTTTTTTTTTAAGGACCCAAACAGGGAGCAGCAAAGGCCACAACTGAAAAAGATGTATCTCTGGATAGTTTTAAGCAGCTCAGTGTTAAGAATCGTTTACAGACCTGTCCCAACAACTGGAATCCCTACAGAGAGACTTTGCACTGCTGCAGCACGAGTTTTCCCCACCCAACTGCACTTAGGGGTCTGCAAGCCTACTACACAATGAGGAGAAGCTGGTTTCCAGTGCCTGACCAGGCATTACTGCACAGTCCCACCAGGAGGGTAGCAAACAGGGCTGCAGGTGAATGCTCAGCCAGCAAAAATATCAGAGAAGTGAGAGGAATAAGGTTGTAAAGCACCCAGTAGGGTTGTGTTTTCATTCCTCTTTTGAGAGGCAAGCAAATTCTGTTCCAGTTTATTCCCAGGAATTTGTTGCTCTGCTTGGATAATCTGGGTTTGTGTACAAGACAGTATGATGCCCAGTGACATCACCCAAGCACAGTGCCTAGAGCTTCTCTGGAATCAGAAGACTCAGACTTCTGGAAGGCAGGGCAAGTCGGGAAATTTCCAGAGTGGCCTGAAACATCAGCAACAAGGCAGAGATCCCCTGTTTGGAAACAAATATCCTGATTTCCAGGATATATGAAGAAATCTTGTCTATCGGGGTCCACTAGGAAGAAGTGGACAGGCAAGTATGCCTCCTTCCAAGTGCATAATATAGGGTGTATTACAATCATTTGTAATCACCTTCTCCAGTCTCACACAGCAATGTCTGGAAAACTCCTTGCATAAGTGGTTTACATCCTGAAGAGGAGTGAATGAGCTCAACTGACAGGCAGAGAGGGGATATAGCCACAAGAGTAAAAGTCCTTTATGTGTGGCTCCCCTAGGCTACTCTCCTGAATAGAAACAACAACAACAACAAAAAAAATCAAATTGAGCTACATCAGCTGTAAGGAGAAAAGCTTAGAAATGATAGTAGATAGGAGAGAATCAACTTTAAAGGCTTGTCTACATGGGATGTTCAAATAGAGAAGTTATTCTGTACAAATTGTTTTCCAGTGACTTCCCCAGGCATGAGCATTCTCAATACAGCATGAGGAAGCCCAAACAGAGCTGTCCTGGAGTCACTGCAGTGTTTAACTCTGACACCTCCTTACTGAAGGGCAACTTCCCTGTGTCGACAAGCCCCAGATTAATCACAGCGTTGGTAGAGCATTAGGCAGATGAAAAGGCTTAATGTTCTCTGAGTGCCCCTCCTTCAGAAATTGTCTTGACAGAAGGGTTGGGTCTGTTTACTGGATATAAAATGTTGCTAAACCAGATGGAATAATGTCACACTTTAACAAGAAAATATATTCAGACTTTGACATAGTCTTTAACATTACCTGTAAATAACAAATTCAAGATACAGATGTTTACAATATACGTTGCCTTCACGCAGGTCTTCATGGAAGCAGGTACCTAAAATAGCCCTGCAGGCAACCAGACTCCACACAATTTACAAAAAAGTTTAGACCAGGACCCCACAAAACATTTGCTTCATACATACAGGAATAAAATATGCACTAGTATTAATAACAACAGTTCAAAGTCAATAAAGCATTTTGTTTCTGTAGTAAGACACAGTTATTTGAGGCAGACAATGGCTCTACAATATTGAAGTGAAGTGGACCAGAAGTTTAGGGGAGAAGAGAAATGGAACATTTCCAAGTGACCTGTGTGCACATAATGCAACTCTCATTTGGCACCAGGGGGATGTGGCAGTGTCAAACCACCATGCAGTGGACAGCACAATGGAAAGCCAGATCTTTTCACTTGTCTTCCTCAAGTGCACATCAACTAATATATCATATGTAAGGCTCCAACTATCTGCAGGTTTGGAAAGGTTTGTGGGACTCTGATAAGAAACCCTGACAAGGAAAACACATCCCATCACAAGCAGATCAGCTACTGAAACAGCTCCTTCCCACCCTCCTAACAAGGGAACCACCTTATTCAACTCTGCACAGTGCTCAAGGTTGAGCTGCACAGACTGTAAATACAGTTCCTTCTCCCCATCTCTTTTAGATGTTTTTTTTTTACCTATTCTTTTTCAATCAACGAGCTTCTCAGTGTACAGGAGAGCATTTGGCCTGTGTATGAGCACTCACTGGGAGCAGAGGGGAACATAAGAACTTTGAAATCCCTTTCCTCCTCCCCTTCTCTTCCACATTTCTGATCTTTTGGGAGTTAAGGAAAAAGGCTTCCCAGCCTTTCTTCTGCAGCATTTACTATTTTAAGCTAAGGGCAGTGAGGGGAAGTTGCCCTCAGTACATACAGAACAATCAGTTGAATTTAGAAGTACACGTACTTTTTCCCAAGTAGTAGTTAGAACATCAGGCAACAAAATGCAGCCTGCAACATTGGGTTTTGGCTCAACTTTCACTGGGTTTTTGGGGGTGTTAAAAAAAGCACACACAAACCAACAACAAACTATCACAACCCACACAGAAGATATTCTCAGTATTTCTAATGTTCATTACCACCAGGAATCCAAAATACTGCACCACTAGAGATCAAAACAAACTTGTTCCTGACAATAATAATCCTACACCAATACAGATATAGAAAGGATTCTTTTTTTTAATGAAACAAAAATAGTACCTACCAAAGGGAAGGAGGAAGAAGAGACTCTCAGATCACTAAAGAAAGAATGCAATAGGAATGAGATTTGCTTTTCAAAACATGCAGGATTTGTTGTGGGGGATTTCAATAACAAGTTTAATTACTTTTTTTAAGATGGGAAATGAAATAGTAAATGGTTATTGCAGTTGTTACCCAAAGCAAGATAAAAACAATACTGGATGAACTGAACCAAATTATAAAACTTAAAAATAAGAAAAAAAAAAATCTATTAGGTGAATTTGTTTGCCAAGCATTCTACTTACTAACAATTTAAGGAAAAAACCTTTAATACTCTTACAGCAGGTACTGCTAAAGCAAAGTTGAGAACAGCCTCTTTGGAGGGCAGATATTCTTTAATCACATGGAATAAGGAAGATACTATTGGTCTTCCCAGGTTTTTTTTGTTTGTTTTGTTTGTTAAAGTGCCAGCAGTTTACAGAAGCTATTGTCCATGTAAGCTCAGAGCAGCAATCTTCAAGCTCCTTCTTTCCTGAAAGGGAGCCTAGCAGCAGTCAGTAGGTACACAGCTAGCACTCCTGTAGCCCAGCCTCACAGGAGTGTTTGGAAAGTAGCATGGTATCCAACAAAGTGAACTGCCTGCACTTTTGCAGGGCTATTTGTTTTTTCTTGGCATCAAAATGATAACAAACACCCAGGTGCAAGAGCAGCTGTCCAAACTGTACTCAAAAGGTAGAGGACTGATATTAGCTTACTGGCTCTGGCAAACAGAGGAAAAGGAGCACGGTCTCAAATGAGAAATAATCACACAGGGAACATTATTTGCTTTGAATAAAAAGATATGGATCTCACTGGTCATAATGCCCAAAGCTAAAATTGTGAATGGCAAAAGGAGTCAAAATAAATTCCACCAAATGATCCAGGCACATTTGGGAAAAGAAATAAATATATCCACTGCATAGAATTCAAGAATAGAGAGCACAAATATTTCAGACTGAACCGTATGCCTGAACTTTCAATAAATGCACCATTTTCATACAGGCATGCTGATGAGATCCCTGAGAAGAGGATAAAAATGTCTCAGTCACTTCAGAGGTCAGTGCTTTTTAGTACACAGATAAATAAGTATCACGAAATACGCTCTGCAGGTAGGACATGCCCATTATAAAGAAATAGCTCAGACACAAACTTGCACTTTCCCACCCTCCCATCTGAATCTAAAGGATTCTGAAGCTGCAAAGAAAATTTATGAGCTTTGCAGGGCTCTTCAGATATAGCTGTTATGGACTAATAGTTCTTTTCTAGAAAGTTTCTTAGTATCTTCCCTATAACTGACATTCATCAGGATGGATTTTTCCATTAGTGTGAACACTGTTTCTTTCTTTTGAGCTGGTTCCCCATTCATGAAAGGCCCAGAGGAAGTTTTACCCAAGAAAGAGAGGTGCATTTTACTAAAATCCAATTGTTTGCAGTTTAGGACTCCTAACTTCTCTAAATTCTTGATATGGTTAAACCAAGACAAGGGTCAACTCTAATTACTTAAGTCCTTCCTCTCACATTGAAAAACCTATTACACATTAGACTTCAGGACAGCATTGTAACTACCATAGCTCTGCTGGAGCTAAAGGAGCTCTGCTATTACACACAAGCTGATGATCCTGAACACAAAAAAAAAAAAAACAAACCAAAACCTCCTCCCTTTGGCCTGCCACAGCACTGACCATATCATTTCTAATGGGAGACCTGGAAAAGGAGAGGACATTTCGCAATGTAAAACATACTCCAAAATAGAGAGGCTTTTAAGATTTGAAACCTGATGCTTGGAAAAAAGAATGAAAGCTTTAATACACTCCCGGTATACTGATTCACACTGTTGCAGCTACTCCTTATACCTAGAGGGTCATTTGCTCAGTAACAATCATAAAGTGACGACAACAAGCACTTTAGAAGTGTCCTTCCAACATTCACAAGTGGATACAAAAGCCACCCCCAACCTAATCAGCACGTGAGCACCAGGGTTGAAGTCCAGTGCAAAGGATCTGTGATGACAAGCCCAGTCACATTATCTACACTGAACAGCCACCGAGCTCTCTGTAGAATGCCATGCAGAATGAGTACTTGCCACTAATTATCCTCCTTTTATTTATTATTCCCTTCTCCCAACCTTGTCCTCTGACATCCCATCCCCAGTCACTGAAAAAGAGATGGAGTAGTCTTACTGTTTGTTTCTGTAGTTTAGCCCATTGGAGGGCTCCCATGTACAGACCATCCAACTGTGCAATAATATAGCCAGCATGCCTCCAAAAGGGGTCATCCTTATTATTTCTGATTTGTTGTCTTGTCCATTGATCTTGTTTCCTGCAGAGGAACAAACAGGTTGGGGTTGTCTTGGTTTTGTTTTAGAGCATAATTGATAATGCAGGGAAGGGACAAACGTATTATGACCCAGAGGATCCAACCTTCCTAGTGTTTTGAGGCAAATCATGCTTTGGAAATTGTGCAGACATAAGCATTATATCCTCTGGGTGTAAGTGTCAAGATCCATGCAACACCCTACAGCTGTGTGCCTCTACCAGACCTGGGTATCAGAGACACAGTTGGACTCCAGCTCTGGGGGAGCTCTGCTACGTCAGCTCCAGCAGCCCTTACAGTCAGTGAAGGGAAACAAGCATCTGACCAGGCAGATAAACCATTCCATTTAATTGCCTGTTTAAGGGGAAAAATAGACTGACCTTTATTTCTCTCCCTTAGATACAAGTGCAATGAAGGCTTTCTGTTGGTGGTGCTCAAACAACTGCCAAGAACCACTGCTATGCTCCTCTGACGAAAAGGTAAGAGGCTAAACACAACTATCCCATGTGCCAAATCCAGTCAAGAGGTTACTTGCCAAAAAACACATGGTTAGAGCAAGTTGAACAGACCCTAGGGCAAGAGCAGCCAACATTATAAATATCTCCCAGGGTTCCCTCTTCTGCTGTGCACAAAGGGCCACAGAAGAACCACAGGCATCCAGGTAAGTCAGGACCAGACTGCAGCCTCCTCCACCATCCTGTATCTATCCATCCAGCACTATGTACAGCAGCAAAAGACACAAGGAACCTGACCAGGAAGCAAAATCTTCCAGCAGTATATGGGTGATAAAACCAGCTTAGTCAGAAAAAAAAGGGACATGGCCAGAGCATTCAGGGCTAAAGACATCCAGGACAACACAGCAGCCCCTATTGCAAAACTGCTATGAAGTAAAGCAGCAGTGCAGGAGTCCAGGATACAGGCAACACAAAAAATGATACAAGGCCGCTTGGTATTGTCCCCCTCCACCCAACAATACATGGTGGGGGACACAGCTGCTGTGATGGGTCAGTCTGGAAGAACCCACACACATTGATATGGGAGCTACCCCATTTTTCTCACAAATGAAACCTCAGCAATGCTGAAAAAAAATATATCAAGGATAAGGTAAAACAAATCAACTCTATATATTTGTACCAACAACAGAATTAGTCACATATATAATCCCTTGTTGAAAGCTTAAGGCAAAGGAAAGATGGAAAGACAATTCCCAGAAATGATCAAAGTTTCACAGAAGTATTTGTAATGGAAGAAAACATAAGTCTAAGATATAAGTAACTGGCAATTGCAGTTGAGTTTGCCAGTACCTGACCTGATTTTTCTCCAACTTGTAGTTTCCCACTAGGGTAGCTGCATTATTTGAGCAGAACTACTTTTGATTTATACAGCTGAGGAGAAAAGGGAATCAGGACTTTTGTGATTAGAACAGAATTTACATCAGTGGTAGAACAAATAAAATGTTACCCTAACAGAGGAAGGAAAGGACAGACAATGCTAAAAAGATTAATGTGCCAGGAAACCACACTGTTCAGTGTAAGATCCTAAATATCAGCTTTATAGAAAATAATTTTGAAGGAAAAGAACTTCTGAATTCATTGGCATTATCCAGATCCCTTTGTAACAGTGGTTTATACATTTCTTTGAAAGGATCAGAATCAGGGAACTGCATATGCCCTTCATGTATATTTAGATTTTTCATACCAAGAACATTCAGAGGCAAGGTAAGCATACGTTTTCCTTAGCCATAAGGAATAGAATTTAGAAAATCAAGAATTCTGTCATAGTCCAACCCCAAGTGTTGAGTATTTTGGTTTCTAATAGCTGAATACATACTCCATGAAGTTCTGCACCCCACTCCGAACGGTGGGGTTCTTGATCAGCTGGGGGTACATGTTTGCAGCATGGTCATACATGTGCCTGGAAGAACAAGAGTAGCAGAAGTTATTCCTTTGCATCATCCCTTCCTTTTGATTAACCACACACTGATCAACAAGCACTGACAGACAAACAACACAGTCTACAAAGTAAGATTTTCCTAATCACAGAAATTACTTCAATGCAAACATTCAATTTCAAACAGCAAATAGACACAAATGGATTGCTGAAATTTAACTTAAATGACCTTGCTAATACCTGCTCAAACTGCTCTACAACAGAAGGGTAAGAATGAAACTGAACTAGTTCCTAGCAAAAACAAGGAATATTTATAGGCCAGAAGCATCTTGAAAGCATTAGCATATTAAATTAAAGCACAACAGAAATAGTTTACTGGACACCTATTCTATTTGGAACCAGGAAAAAAACCAAAACAACAAAGAACCAAACCAACACAGAGGTGAGGAAAATCGAATTTTTCTGGTTCAGTTGTGAGAGAGCATTTCAGCTGATATCTAGCAGGTTTTACTTACCATTAGCCATGTTCCTCCTTTTCTGATTAAGCTACAAATATTTATTTTAAATAATGGAAGAATTGATCTTATGTGCTCCCACATAAACTACCACACAGCCCGAAACAAATTCAGCTTTATGGAGAAAAAGCTGGGTTTATTTTGTTGTTGTTGAATTCATTTAGCTGTTTCATCCCCATTAACTAATGGGAACAAAAGTTTTAAGGGTTTCTTTTGGTTGATTCAGGCTTTTTTGTTCATTTTCAAGTCCTTTACATTTCCTGATTAAATCAACTGTTAAAAATTGCTCAGGAATCCAGAAGTTAAAATCACCCTTCTATTTTCAGTAAAGCGTAATAGTTTGATTCAATCCAAAGCAGAACTTCAACATTTCTTAGAGTCAAACACTTTTTTCAGCCACAGAATAAGGAGAAAAAAAAAAAGAGTGGAGAGGAACATCTCATTCTAGGTGGAAATCAGCAGAAAATTATTTCACTGAGGTCTGCAGCTGATAAGAACTACATCAGTCATCAGTAAAATTATCTCCTACCAAGTACTGAGAGAAAGAAAACAGTACTAAGACAGGAGTCCCAAGGAGAGCACATGCCAGTGAGACAATTCCCTGCATCAGAACTCACCAAGGCAACTTCCTCTGGGAGGGCTGCAAACCTCTGACCTTGGGGAAAACACAGCCAGGCACCACTGAATTGTTTGCTGATGATTAGATGATCATCCAGTGACCTTCCCTCTCTGTCCCTTGCCCCAGCTGTCTAAGTATTGGATTGCATGACCCTGCTGCTTCTTACCTCAGTTCTGGTACCATCTGACTACCCCATCTCACATCTGCTCACATTCAAAGGCTAACCCAGCCAAAAACATCAGCTCGCTTTCTGCCAGCTTGTTGTTTAACTTGGGGTGTTATGTAGACAGAAGCAACAGAGCTGGTAGCAAAGACAGGTCTCTGCTGTGTTAGCAAATGAACTGATGCATGAAAGGGCTTCACCAGTGCCAGGACAGAGACAAGCCGGGGGGACTGGAGCTGTGGAAGGAGGTGTTGATGTTATCCCCAGGACTGGGCCAGTACCTGCTGTGCCCTGAGCCACCCACACACCCAGCCCAGACACTGTTCTACTCTTCTATGGCAAAGCTGCACAGGTTTGGGTGCTCAGTGGTGCCCAGAGCCAGCACACCCAGGCACTTCTGAGGTTTTGATACACAAAGTTATCAACTAGGAAGTTTCCAAGAGCTTCCCATTGACACTGGCTGGTTTGTGATCTGCATACAATCACACAACACTTACTCAAACTTCTCATGCTCTGTAAGGAAGGGGTTTCAGCTGGGCTGAAATCACTTCCCTTCAGCTGTGGGGGTGTGATTTTTAGTATTATAATGACATGAATTTTGAGTAGTCAGCTAAACAATGGCTAGCACTATCCTTAACTGAACTAGACAAAGCAACATGGTCTCTAAGGACACAGTTTATTTTCTAGGATGTCTCTTCTTCAAGGACAGACAACTCTTGATTTGGAGTTTAATTATTTCTGACAAGCTCAAGGATGGTCATCTTGACCTAGTCATCACGTACCTTTTTATCTCCTCCTTTATACACACTATCAATGACTTAAAGATCTTAAGGATCTGTAAAATAAAGCCTGTCTCCTGCAAAAGAGGGAGGCATTCAGCAGCTTCAGGCTATTATACCTTTCAGGAACTACAGCTAGTGCTATCAATTTTAGTTCTAGAGCTTCCTGCATGCCGTGTAACACAAGACTACATGCCATGATCACAGCCAACTTTGTTGTCCTCTTCAAGAAGTAGAGGAGACAGATTAATATTCTCCACCTCTGCAGTCACAGAGAATTTGGCAAATAAAAATCCCAAGTCATTTTAGGAAGAAAACTACAGCATAACATACTCTGTACAAGTCAGAGCTCTCAAGGTAACAGGAGGAAACAACACAAGACAGTCCATCTGGCAGATGGCCTTTCAGGGATGAGAACCAAATGAGGAAGATAAAAACAGCCAGGATACTACTCTAACCATTGCCTAGGCCAGGAGAGATGATCAGGCTTCCAGGTTCAGCCATCAGCTCTACTCTCCATCTTGCACTCAGAAGTTAGGCAACACCAGGCAGATTTTATACTAGCAGTATCTCCAAGCTGTGGTGACTGATGTAGAGTAAGGGACAGTTCAGAACCAGGGGACTGGAAACACCATATACAAGAAAGGAGGCCATTAAAGAAGCTAACAGAGAACTACAATTCCTGGTCATTTTAAAAAGAAAAACTCATTCCAAGGTTACTGAGAATTTTTCCCCTAGTTGCCTTGTTGGGTAGTCTTTTTTTTGCTTTAACAAAGCTTCTATGTGCATGGCTTGCATGTTTTGTAAGGGTATTATCCTCTGAAGTAAATTGGATCATTATAGTAAGGTAAGGCTTTGCAACTGCATCCAAGGCCAAACACAAGGCAATTACAAAGCTGGGACAAGAATCCAAAGTCTAAAAACAACAAAGCAGAGCCCTGCTTCTTCAAATTAGAGAGGAAGATGACAGGTCTCAGGTCAGCTGAGGTTATATCAGAAAACAGTACAATTAACATTGCTTCAAATTTAAATACTGCTCTTAGGTAGCTGGCATGTTCCAGCTGGAAATGATTAAAAGTATGTGCTTAACATCAGGGATTTGGATTTGCTCTGTCATTCCCCAAGTCAAGTGAGGCCTCATTAACAGCTCTGTTGGTAATGGGGGAAGAGAATTCATGCCTTAGAGAACCAGACCAAATATCTTTGGCTGGATAAGACTGGACCTTACAGAGAGGTGATAAAAACAAATTAGGTTTATTTCATCACTAACTATGCACCTTCAAAATAGACAGCTAATATCTGAATCAGATGCCAACACTGGCAAGATGATCTCATGCTCTAGAAAAGGCCTGGGTTTCTGCCCTCAATGGTAAATAGATCTGACTTTCACCACAGACCTTTACAGCTAGACCTCAGATGAATTGTTCCCAAGCAATCTGAGCTAAAACAGTCCCAGGCCCTTGTTTTGGAGGGTATTTTTTGTTGTTTGGTGGTTTTGTGTGGGGTTTTTTTGTTTGTTTGTTTGTTTTTTATATCTGGCCGTCTTACATTCTGCTTAAGTTCCTACCAAGGACAGACTGTACAATTTTAGAAGAAATATTCTGTCACTTTTGCTTACACCATGATGCTTAGCTGTGTCTAGAAACCCTCCTTCATGCCATAAGCGTAATGCAAGAACCAAGCTAGCTGAGAATTCCTGGAGGTCTCCAAATTGCAGGCACAGTCAAGCTGGAGCTCCTGCTCACCAGAGAGCTTCTACAGCAACCTGTGCTTCAACTTGGGATCAGGCTCGCAGCGCATCCTTCCCAATAATGCATCACATCAAAGCTTCCCCTGGCAGGACTTGAGGGTTTCTGCAGAGAGCCTCCTTGGGCCCTTTCTCCTTCATGGAATCATTGCAACAAACAGATGCAAAACAGCTGGAGACCTTGGAGTTGTCCAGGCTGCAGGCAGCAGGACGCCAGAGGGCACCGCCATCGCCAGGCATGTCCATGCTGAGAGGCTGTGGTGCCTGTGGGGCAAGTGGCAGAGCCACGTCCTCCCCAGTGCCTGAATGGCTGTTGGCGCAAATAAAGCCTTCAGCACAGCCAGCCAGACTGTCACACTCTTCCCTCTTGTCACCAAGTGCCAAAAATGGAACGTTCAGCCATGTGCAGCTACTGTGAGCACTGACACCTGCAAAAGCAGCATCAGTGTTTGGAGACACCTGCTCAGAAGTCACATCAGTCCTACAGAGCTTCCCTGAGGACAGGCTGAATGGGCCAGGCAATCCCATGGGAACAGAGCCAAAAACTGGAAAAGACTGTGTCCTGGTTTACTTCAGAAGACTTGTGTAGCTGTCCCAAGGAATGAACATCTGCCTGCATGTTCATGAGGATTCTGTGAATCTCTAGGCAAGATAAAGAAGGAGAAATAATGGAGGTCTGAATGCAATCTTAACATCTGCAAGCTTAGCAAGTTCTCACCACTCCTGTGGTTCAGGAAACTGCAAGCACACTGTATAAGAGGACTCATTAATTGCAGTTTGCTGAATATAAAAAAATACCAAGGTCATACAGCTAAATCCTGCAGTAACAGGTTCTCAGTCTTCTCAAGGGTCAGGGGAGTGCATCACTAACTCACCTCTGCTCCTTAGCCGGAGCACTGTCAATAGGTATTCTTAGCTTCAACAGAGAAGCCCTCTTTATCCAGACCAGTTTTATGAGACCTGACAGAAAAAGCTCATATTCATAACCCCCAGTGAGAAACAGGCTTCCACTGCAGCTACAGATGTACAGTGGGGCTAAGGTACAGCCAAAACTCCAATCCAGACAGAATTTGAGAGTGATTTTAATTACAGTGAGCATTTTCAAGTTTTGCAGTGTTGGAGGATTGCTCAGTGGATTTCCTCAATAGCTTCCTGAGAAAAGAAAGGCTTTGCCTACTTCTGGTTTTGCATCTGAACCCACTCTTACACTTGAACTCCTTTAAAACAGTTGAGTTTCCCACTCTGCTTAACAGCCAGTCTCAAACCCTACTTTTCCACATGGATACAAACCCTGAACTTCACTTCCCCAGACTTTAAGATCTCTGTTCACTACTTTTTGTGCTGTACCCACTTCTCTACGAAGGGCCACTCAGTACTCGCTCTGTTGTGGAGGCAGGAGGGGAACACTGGGTAGATTGTTACCACTAGAATATTACTTACCATCTAATTGGGCTTACCATGGATTGGGCTCTACATAGTATGACAAAGGTTAAACTTAACCACTTAGAGGTGGGCACATCTAAGTGGAACTTTAGTGAAAAAAATTGTTGAACAATCCCAATTTGAACATTATTCTAAATGTAGCACTAGCATCCCCCAGAAGTACACAGTGCTTACATCAACTGACTGAACAGTGCACAACAACCACCTCTCAACGCCAAATAACCCAACCACATACATCTAGATCTCTCCTGTACTTCATTTCCTTTCCTGCCTGGAGTACATGTACACCCAGAACTCCAGCATTCTCAGAAGTGTTTTACTATTGATAAATATTACTCCACTGAATTTCTCTTATGCTCTCCAGAGCCCTAGCTGCCTCTCCAGCAAAGTCCACTAGAATCACACTAACATATCATAGGATTAGAGAACTAGGCACAAATCTTAACTGTTATTAAAATGTCTTACTAATTAAATTAATATCATATTGATGTTTAATTAGTTATTAAGTTAATATCTTATCCAGCAGCCATACCTTACAACTGTTCAACAGACAACCCTCTCCTGTTGGCCTGTTCAGTGCAGCCTTTGGGTCTTTATTTTAGTGTTCTGGAGCAAAGCTGGTTAAGCCAAATTCATGCCACTGTACCAATCACAAGCATCTCCCAAGTATTCCCCAGCCATGCACCAGAACTTGGGATTTTTCTTTTTCTTTTCCTATGACTAAGTTGGTAGAGGAAAAGATGGAGCTTGTTCAATAACAAGCCACGTGTCATGTTCTTTGTTTATCACCAGCTATATCCTAGCAGTTAGTAGGTCAGAGTGCCACTCTGTCTTCCAACTTAGCCACAAAAAGAATAGGACTTTTTTAGTTGGTTGTGTGGGGCTTTTTTTGTTGTGTAGGGTTTTTTTTCCTAAAATGAAACAAAAAACTGCTCTGGATTCATAACAAGTACAAAATTCTGTCAGTTTTCATAGATCTGCATAGTGATAGACATTCAGTCCCTCATCTTCTCTTCAAAGGGCTTTCAGGAGTCCACTGACCCTTCCAGACACACACCAATCTGCCTTCAGGCTTATCAGTGAATCAGCTTTTGTTTGGATTTGTCCAAGTGAGACTCAGCCAACCACCCAGGCTGTGAAACTTCAGGATCTGCTCCACAGCATCTGGTGAAAAAGCTCCTTCAGGAAGTCCCAACAGCCCTTGCAAGCAACACCTTTTCCCTCCTGATCCACCTGCAATTGTCTCACCTGTTGTTGGTCAGTCACCTAACTACAGGCTGGGGAGAGCTGTTCTTTCTGCTGCCCCTTCTGTAATTATTGACAACATGGGGCTTACACACTTCCTTACACTTACACTATCCTGTGATTACTGAACCAGTAATCAAGGCACAGGACTCCTTTATCTCTCGGGTGTTAGGAGAGCCTGCAGGATGAGGAGAAGGCACATCTTAATCCCATAATAAAGATGCTATACTTCTTATCTGCTCCTAATTAAAAGAACAGCACACAACTACTAAATGTGGGATTAGTTGAAGTGGATGGGAATTAAGGGAAAGGAAAAAACACCTAAACAAATTCCCAAGTATACAGAAACCCACTGGGAGAATCATAAGTCGGAGCAGTTTCCTGAGGTACTTACGGAGCTGTGAGGTAGCCTTCCAAGAAGCCAGCTGCATACATGATGTCTTCATTGCTTAAGGTCTGGCTGCCGTAGCCTGCTCTGATCTCCAGAACTCCCCAGCCTGTTGTCTGCACAGTGTTGTTGTAGAACCCATAGGCATCCCCACTCCTGTCCAGCACATTCCTGACCTGCAGGGTTTTTTCAGCTCTGTTCCAGTACACCGTTGCATAGCGGATTTCTGTGGTGGAGAAGAAAGGGGACAAGGCAAACAGACATGAGCAGCCATCTCCTGTCTAATACTGAAACGTCAGGACAACATTTTGGCAATTTGAAAAAGTTAGCTTAATATCTTTCCATCAGGTTTAGTTCTACTGTGAACAGCAACAGTAATGTTAGTGTACTGAAAAGTGGCTCAAGTACTACCTGGAGTGTTCCTAAGACAAAAGCTTACAGCTCAATATCTTCATATTACTCTTCTGGAACTCACCCGCACCTCTTAGGGAGCTCCAACACAGCCAAGTCTTGACATATAGTTCAGAAAAGTATTTCCTTACCTGGCGCAGAAGAAAAATCTATACAAATCTCAGTGAAAGTAACTTTAGAAGACAGCCTTTAGCAACTGCAAATTATTATAAATCACTCTTGACTGCTTTCCACCTAAAGATACAAAAGGCTATAGAAGTTTTCTAAGCTGCCTTTCTGGGCAACTAATCCTGGAGGTGGCATTACCAAACAGGAGCACTAGTACTCAGCAGATTACAGGCTTGAAGACAAAAGCGCCAGAGGTACACAAGCCTTTACAAAGACACAATCCCCCCATCATCCATCCAAAAGAGAACCAATCCCAAGTGTCAAATCAATGGCAAGGAAGGGCACTAGACTGCTCAGAGTTCTGCTTAGACTCATGTTTAAGAGACTTTCCTCATGAGTTGGGTTTTAATCCTGCTGAGCTGAAGAACAAAGAGAAAGGTAACGTGAAAAAATCCACCCTACACCTCTAACTCAGCCTTCTCTGGGATGGGATACAACTGCACCAGATTTCTATTCACTACAGATCAAGTCATGACACTGCTGCAGTATTGCAAGCGAAAAGAGTTCAAAAATCGTGAGTCAGAGTTCCCAGAGTTATTTGCAAAGTCAAACACTTACAACTACTAAGAAACAAGCAATGTTTTTACTCCCTTGACCCTCCTCCTTTGTGTGGCAACTAGTCCTGCCAGTTCACAGAAAGAAATTGCAGTTGGTTACTGCTTCTTGTAAGAACTCATGTGGTGCATCATGCCCATAACAGCTACAAAATAGAGTTAGATCTGACACTGCATCATCTCACACACAACACTTCCTACACATGCCATGCCAATGGAAGTATTAAAAAGGCAAAAGAATGCCAGCACAATGCTCTTCAAAAAGTTTTAGGTGAAATTTTTGTGATTAAGTAGCTAGTTTGATTTCAAATTAGTTGGACCCACTTTGTTCAGTACTCTGAAACAACACAGAAGCTATTTTTTATGAAGAGCCATGACATGTTTGAATTAAAAAAAAAAACCCAAACCTTCCAAGCACCAAGCTCTTTCTCCAGCTCTTCACTGTTTGACGCCGCTGTTACCTGTAATTCAACTGCTGTAAAGTTGTTCTCTCCTCGTGTTCCAGCAAGAATGTCTAAAACTGTTTCTTACTGAGAATCACAGAAGGGTTGAGGTTGGAGGGGACCTCTGAAGGTCTTGTCCAACCCCCTGCCCAAGCAGAGCCACCCAGAGCAAGATGCCCAGGTTCACATCCAAACAGCTTTAAGGACAGGTGTTTTTACAACCTCTCTGGACAGCCTCTACCAGTTGATGAGCTCTTGCTCATCCTTAGATTAAAAAAGTGTTTGCTAATGTTCAAGGAGAGTTTCCTGTGTTTCAGTTTATACCCACTGCCTCTTGTCCTGTCACTGGGCACCACTGAAAATAAACTGGCTCCTTCTTTACACTCTCCCTTCAAGTATTTTTATACACCGATGAGATCCTCCTTGCACCTCCTCTTCTCCAGGGGGAACAGGCCCAGCTCTCTCAGCCATTCCTCATGCAAGAGGTGCCCCAGTCCCTTAATCACCTTCAAAGCCCTTTACCACACTCTCTCCAGTAGCTCCAGATCTCTCTCATAATGGGGAGCCCAGAACTGGACCCATCAGTCCATGCTCATCCTTATCAATGCTGGGCAGGCCCCTCAACCAGCCATCAAGGTTCCTCCTGATGCAGCTCAGGAGACAGCTACCCTTCATTGCCACAAGGGCACACCGATGGCTCAGCTTGGACATGAATACAGCCAGGAACCTTTTATGGAACGCTGCTTTTGAAACAGTCAGCCCCCAGCATGTATTCATACTTTGGGTTATCCCTCCCTGGGTGCAGGACTTCACATTTTCCTTTGTTGAACTGCATGAGGTTCCCACCAGCCCATTTCTCCATCCTGTTGAGGTCTCTCTGAACAGCAGCACAACCCTGAGGTATGAGCCACTCATTCCACTTCTGTACCATCAGCAAACTTGCTGAGAGTACACTCTGCCCCACCACCCAGATCACTAAGGGAGATGCTGAACAGTATTGGCCACTGCCACACCCCACCAGTCGCTGGCCTCCAGCAGACTGTACACTAAGAACTATGCCAGGCTTCAGGATATACCAGAGACCTTTCCCATGTGAACAGGAGAGCATTAGCAAGAACAGAATTTTAGCATGGAAAGAACTGCAATTTCCTTCCTCCACCCCCTGTCCTATGAATAGAAGTTTTTGCATGAATCTCTATTTAGAGATGAAGTCATTTCAGGGACTTGGAACACAGTGTGTAAAAACATGTTTTTCTTCTGCCAGGTACCGAGGCTATTTAAAGGACTGAGACATAACAGACTTTGGATAACTCTTCAAGCAGCTGCAATCTTACTTTTCTGTTGTCTCCTTAACTATCTTCTAGTAATACACAGGGTAACTGCTACTTTACCCCTAAGGGTAAACATGGGAATCATTCACACTGAAAAAAAACTATAAAAGGAAGAACAAGCCAATAAGGGTCATCACTGGAGAAAGCAAAAGGCCATCTTACTCCGCCAAGGTTTGCATAAGCAAAGAGGTCAGGAAAAGGGAGATCCTGTGAGGAGGTGGTGCCAGGGGCTGGCACAGAACACAACAGTCTGTCCAACAGGAAAGGGGAAAGCTGAATCCAACTGAGAAGCCCACTGTGGGGCAGAGGAGAGCCTGGCCACGTGCCCAGTACACAGGTGAGGGATGGGTAAAAAGAGACAGAACAAAGTAGAGGAAAAGATTATCTGCTTCCCATCTCCTCAGTGGGCTATGGAGAGGTGGCAAGTAGTCAAGAGGAACCAGGGCTGCTGGGTATTGTTATTAGTGCCCACAGACTAAACAGGCAGAAGAAAGTTTCTGACATGCCTAAAACAAAACAGCTGCTGCTTCCTTCTCTGGTGCTGGCGCCAGCCAGGCTGAGCAGCCACAGGTACTCCACACACAGGCTGTGCTGCTTTGGCTTATGCTCTGCCAGAGCATGAACGTGCAGAGCCATTTCCGAAAGTCAGAACAAACTTGAAAATTACTCGTGCAGTTTGCCCTTCCCCAGCTTCCCTATATGAGAAACTTTACACTGAAGAAAACAAGAGAAGCAAAGGACAGGAGAGAAGGGAAAACAAATTACAGGATAATTTACACACAAACCTGGAGAGATGTTTAGAGGAACAGCATCAAGGTAGCTGTCATGGATATGGCGTAACAATGATGCTGGGAAAGACAGGGATTTTTTTAATCCAAACCCATTCACTCATCATCCCATTTCACCTCATTAAAAATTAACACCCATTTCTGCAAGTCTAGTTGCCCTGGTCTACAGTGTCAAAATACCCACACGTGAAATTACTGTGTTTATTTCAAAGAACATAGAAATTATAACTGTGTGAGTACAAGTCTTTAACTTACTACAGAGATAACTACAAGCTTATGAATCTGTGTAGAATGAACACACACACTACAACACAACTGAGGTATTTGCTATCGCTAAGTCTGTTAGGGTTTTAAACTGTGTTCATCTAACCTAGCAGCAGCACCACTGCCAAGAAAACCATCCAGAACTGAAGTGTGATACAGAAATATTATAAATGAATATATATGAAATATATATGCAATATTATATATGAATATATATGAAATATATAAGACATATGGAAATATAAATATGAAATATGCAGTTGCTTACTGCACATGTCCTGCAACAACAGGAACCTTCCTCTTGAATAATGCTGGCATTTTTATATTTATTTTTGGAAGGTGAGGCAGGGGCCTTAGCAGCTCTCAGCCAAGTAGCTATTTTGGTAACTTCTTACATAGGAATCAAACATGCGCCTGTGAATCTACGGATCGTGCTTTTATCACCAAAGCTGGACTTCCCAATGTGCAGCTGAGTATCCTGACAAGTATTTCAGCCTATTAGGAGGCTGAAGAACAGACAAGCATGTGATAATCCGTGGCTATTTGATAACAGTATTGCTTACAAGCCAAAGCACACACTGTGTACTGCAATGCACAGCTGAGTCCCTGGGGATGAGGCAGACAGTGAGCCAGAGCTGGCCAGCATCAGCCACACACAGTCCCACCACAACCACTTGTGTGCTGTATGGTAGGAGACAGAAGTGCAATGACAACACAAGCCTGGAAATAAACACCTGTTCCTTCTCCTTTCTGCAGTCAGTAGGGACTGGGAAGACTTCCTCAAACTGCCTGTTTTTAAAGAGACATCAATGCTTCTGCCAAATAAAGATCCAGAAATAGGAACTATAGTTGTGAGAGTGCTGCTATTTCTTCAATAAAGATGAAGCATCTGGGTTTTGCTAAGATTATACCCCTAACAATGGATAAATGAAGACATTTCCGTCATGGCTAGGAGGTGGTGGCAGTGCCCTTGGTGTTCAGGCTGAAATGTCAAATCCAGTCTCTGCAGTTTTGCTTCAATGGGGGCATCACCAAGGATGTCAAAAGTGGAGCTTATCCTTTAGTTGGTGGCAGCAGGACAGTAGAAACACAAACACCTGTGAGAACACAAAGAAAGCAACTGAAGGAAACAAGTGAGAGGGCTGAGGCAAGATGGAGAAAAAAGAAGAAACCCAATGCTGAAGAGGACATGAAAGAGTGGCTCCAACTTGAAGTGAAAGAACAGAATGGACAAAGAAGATGAGGAAGAAAACCCAAGAGCAGTATC